AGAGTGTAGTGATTTACATGCATGATGTTTTGAAACCGACACTCTTTCTCTCTTAAAATCCCACACTCACTCTACAAGTGAACCTGTTCCGTACTTTAGAAACAACCATGCATTCGACAGCTAAGAATTCTAGAAAGAAGGTGATATGCACATGGTGGACGTGGGTTGGGCACATGGTGGAGGTGGGATGTGCCATCCACAAAAGTGAGGGGCTGGTGCCCTCGATCTTCCCTACCCTCACTGTTGTCACCCACCTACCGTACCATTTTCCCACAACCCCATCCCTCTTCATTTGGCAGGCGCAAGGTCAAATGTCAATTGTTGGAATAGTCAGCTGTGGACTTCCGTCAGTGGAGTGGCTCGCTTGAATAGGTCAACATCCCACCACCCTCTTCAAGTTCTTGGCCTTCATCCTACCTGCCTGCCATGCCTTTCCTTTCTTCCACCTCCCTGTTCTCTCCCGCCCTCTTTCCCTGACCACCCTTCCCGCATAGACCAGCCAGTAGCATCCTTCTTCTGCTGTCCATATGCCCACATGAGATGAATGATCTCTCATCTCTGCAATGAGGTCAGATTCGAACCTACCCTATAGGTGTCTGCTCGCATCGTCACCTGGCTAGCCACCACTGCCATTGACACCCCATCCTTTCTTGGATCGACCCTTTCCATATGGACGACTCAAGTCCCTTGATCTTATCATCACATCACACCATCACACAAGCATCCCATCACATCGTCACACGATCTTCCAGTCACCCCATTAACCCATTACCCATATTCCCATATTCCCATCACCACATCATACCATTACCCCTTCGGCCATCGTCTCGTAATCCCTGCACCATGCGCTTGCTTTGCCGTTGGCCCTCAATGCGATTGTTTGTGTCAAACAGCCCTGAAGTCACTGTCTCATCTATAACACATCGCTACCCACTGGGTCAAAACGAGAGTGTTATTTGGCGCAGAGGAATGCCCATTAACACTTAGCCCACAGGCGTTACATGTATGCCCCTGCATGTACCCAACTGTAGTAGTCGCATATAAGGATTTAAGCATGGGAGGGAGGGGGCAGCGGCAAAAAAAACAAGACAGAATCTATCACAGGAGGCGACAAGGGCCAGGGATGTAGGACGGAGCACATTGGCATGACTGGCTAACGTATAGAGATGAGACTAACATGTAGCGTAACGAGATGATAGTTGGGCTACAAGGCTAAATTGAGATGCGAGGCTTGGGAGATGAAACCACAGCGGCAGAAATCCAAAGGATATTGAGATAGAGCACGGTGGAGCTGTGAACGAAGCACAGGAAAAGAAACATGTAGGAGGATGGATCGGATACTGTGTGCAGGTGAGGGAGCACGGAGGGGTGGGAATGGGGGAGGGGTGGGATTCAGAGGTAAGGGGCGTGGAGGGGATGGGGTGAAAAGTAGGCGCTGAGAAACGGGAAGGAGGAAGGGGATAGAATGAGAAGGGGGAGAGACGGTGAAGAGGGAGGGAGAAGAGAGGGTAGAGCGAGAGGAGAGGGGAGGAGCAGGAGGGAGGAATGGGTGGAAAAGATGAAGGAGGGGGTGGGAGAAGGGGGTAGGAGCGGGGGGGGTAGAGGGAGAGCCGTGGTGGGGGAGTAGGCAGCAGTGGTGACAGGCCTTTTAAGTAGTGGAAATGCCTGTTTCCGAAGTGCTCATCTGCCTGTCGGTAAACTACTTCTCATTAACACAACGGACCGTCACTTAGCAAAATTGCTCCTGTGTACCCTTTGAAGTAATAACTGAGCCTGGTTCACGTTCACACCTCCTCACCATCGGCCCTCCTGCTGCTTCATTGGCACCTGTGGTGCTCCCCGTGGTCCTGCAGCAGCAGAAGCGACCCTTCCTCTCTGCTGCCAGGCACGCAACCTGTTCTTCTAAAGGACAGACACAACCTTGACAAACCGAAGCTGCACCGAGCGCTGGCGGAGGCTGAGCCAGATTGGTGGAGCAGGTGGCCCGGAGCAACAGAGCCATGACCCCGTCGCCCCGACTCCTCTCTCTGCCCTTCTGTGAATCTTCGCCACTGCCCCTTCTCCCTCCTTGGCCCTGGTGGTGAGAACTGCCCTTTAGTGTTGGCCGACTAGCTTGTCACAGTCCCCAAGACCTCCGCCCCCCGGCCCCCTCCTGGTCTGCTTTTCACGAGCCTTTCCTACGCTGTGTCCTTTCACCCGCTCCTCCTCTGCTGTGTCCTTCTTCCTATGCCTCCCCTTCCTGGTACCCTGGCACCACGATCATGGGAGGGTACTCAAATTCCATATCTACACGTCCTAGGTCACCCCGTGCTCTTTAGTAATTCTTCTGTTTGCCTTGCTTTTGCTTAATTTGTCTCTGCGTGTTGGTGTGTTGTAGGACTTAGTATTTATGTGGTGAATTATCTATTGTTGTTTGTGCCAGGCCTCTTCTGAACCAGGACAGCCTGCCTGTGGCAAGTCTCAATGCTAACCCAAGTTTGTCTTACAGTTATGATGTGTTATCAAAGGTGAAACCTATGAGTTGAACCTTTAACTAAACTGAAACCTGAAGTGTAACTTGCTCTAATAAGATAACACAATGATAATTATGAGAGTGAACTCTAGCCTATTCCAATATTGCCGTCGCCATCCCCTCCTCCTGCTACCTCGTTGGTGCAGCATTGCTGGCACAGCAGCCAGCTCAGCAGCAGCAGCAACACGAGGACAGCCACAGTGCCAGCAGCAGCAATGCCAGCCATGGCTTCGCTGAATAAACCGCCCCTCCTTTGGAGGGAGAGGCGGAGGGTGCATTAGGAGCTGAAGTGGGAGGAGGTGGAGAAGGTGCTGGCGCTGGCGATGAGGGTGCTGTCACTGGGGATGGTGAGGGTGCTGGCGCTGGTGATGGAGAAGGTTTTGGCACTGTCGATGGGGACAGTACAATAATGGGATCGGAAGATGAAGAAAGGGAAGGGAAAGGGAAATCAGACATGGGGATGGCGGTGGGCTTGGTGAAAGTGGATGTGGCATCAGGCACATTTTGCACAGTGAGCAGTAGCAAAGAGAGGCATTGACGGGTTTAAACGGGTACTCTTCATTAAAAGCCAAGCGAAGGCATGCAACAGGATGCGGATGCGTGAGGATGCGGATGCGTGACACTAGGAAATATTGTTCTATGGGTTCCTGATACCTGGAAAAAAAAATCTGACACTGAAAAAGCTTGTTGAATGGGTGGCAATGTGGTGTTCATGCACTTGGCATGAGAGCAATGTAAGAATAGGCAATACAAATTGCAGCTACCTGCGTAAGAAGCGTCTCACCTGGTGGTGGCTTGTCACATGTGGTGCAGAAGGAGCCGCACTGGCTGCAGAAAGCACTTGAAGTGGTCTGTGGGACCACACAGCTTCTGTAGTCAGGAGGGCATGTGATTGCAGTCGAAAACATGTTCCTGCATGTGCACATGGAGCATTTATAAAACAGAGAATCGGAAAAGGGTTTCAGCTCGAAGTGAAACGCTCTGAGGTTGCTATTGGAGTTGTATGGAACACATTGCAATACTCTACTATGCCAAGGTGTTATACAGGCTGAAAACAATGACGAACCATACATTTGTATATAACCGCCTTTTGAAGACGGCTTGACGTGGAGGTTTGGGTTGGGCCAGTCCAAGTTAGGTCCTTGTGTACCTCCTGCCTGTGGCCTTAAACACTCTTTGGCTATGGTACACCACTGGAAAACCTTGTATACCTCCTCTTCATGAAATGCTCCAAGGCTGCTATGATGGACATTGCAACACTTGAGCATGCTAGAATGCCTTACAGGTATGTAAGATTAGTGAGACTTCCTATTGCTGGTGGGAGTTGGCCAGTGAGGTTGTTCTGGCTGATGTCACTGCAACGGATGGAAATGACAAACAAAAGATGTATGAGACACAGTCAGGGCATTGCTAACAAGTTTGCCATAACTCCTGCTCACACCTTTCCCTTCATTCATTCTTACCCCATCTCCCCTAGCAGCACCTTCTGTGAATGGCAACAGGCTGCAAACACAACGAGAGGAGCTGGATTTCCAGAAAGACTACCTGTAATATTACTAGAATGCAATATTTGCACCACGAGTGAAAGGTGGGCACGAAAATAAACAATGTGTTCGAGGAATTATGTATGTGTGGGATGTGTAGGACGAGGTATGGAACGGGGTATGGAACGGGGTATGATACGGGGTATGGAGCGGGGTATGGGACGGGGTATGGGACGGGGTATGGGACGGGGTATGGGATGGGGTATGGAGCGGGGTATGGGACGGGGTATGGGAGGGGGTATAGGGTGATGTATGGATGATGTACGGTATGGGATGAGGTCTGGATGAGGTGTGGGATCAGGTGTGGGATGTGGCATAGAATGACGTGTGGATGAGGTGTGCACATGCATAGCTGCCTCGACACTACTGTTCTCCACTAAAATTCAAAGACATGCCATCTAATGTTGCCCACATATAGACTACATCAACCATAAGCCGAAGAGATTTCTATTTGGGATGTTAAACATCCTCACCTTCTCCAAGTTTCTTCTGTCAAATCCGCCAGCCTTACCTCCCTTCACGCCATGCCATCATGACAAGGTGACTGCTAGAAACAGCTGAGGGGAGATCAAGGGAGTAGGGGAAGAGAAGGTGTGGTCAGATGAAGATTCTTGATCAGCAAATGGAGTGCATGCAAGTCCTCTCTGCTGCCACCATCATTCAACCACCAAGAAAGTGGGGGAGTCGTGTTTGGGGGGGAGGGGGGAGAGGGGAGGTGCGTAGCGGGGGTAGAGTGAGAGAAATCGGTGAAAAAACTTAAAGAGAAGCACAGGAGGGTTAGAAGGGCATGGAGGGGAGAATCGAGTGACAGCAGATGGTCATAACGTAGGTGATGGTGGGCGAGAGGGAGGGGTGGTGTCTGAGGGTGCAATGGCTATGGTGATGCTGCGTGGCTGGAATGGTGGGAGCAGATGGGAGGGTGATGGAGGGCAGAGGAGGAGCACCTGAGATGGGGACAGCTGGTTTATGCAGAGGATGAATGGGGTCATCAAGGTCAACAAGGATGAATGTCACACAAGCTGCCCAGTGCAGCACCACACCGCTGCCGCTACTGTTGAATCTGCGCTGGGCACTTGGGGGAAGCGCAGGGAGGAGGAGGCGGGTGTGGGCATAATCACAGAAAGGAGGAGGATGGCGGCGTCCGTGAGTACCGCATCACAGGTGTGAGCAGCCGTGCCCATGTTTCTCCCGCCTATGCTGCCCGTGCTGCCTATGCTGCCTGTTCCTGTTGCTGGCCGCCATACTCCCTCCTTGCCCCTGTTACCCCCCTCCCACCTGCCGCCCCTGTGCCTCTGTGCATGGATCAAACTGCCACTTATGCATGCTCCCCCCCATTTTTTGACCCAAGCACCCCCCCCTTCCCCCGTGCTCCCGTGTGGTGGGAGAAGACTGCAGACACGTGGTGCGGACGTGGCGTAGGGGACACAAACAGGGGTCGCGCATGCGCGAAACATACTCAAGGCGTGGGGGAGGACAGCCGCCACCATCCGCGCCACCAAGGCCGCCAATATGCGCGTCCGACCCTGCTGCTCTTGATCCTCCTTTCCTTCCCCACTTCCTCACCCGCCCCCCTGCAGCCAACTCTCAAGCTCGCTGCCCCCCACTCCTCTATCTGCCTGCCCCCACTTCACCCTGCAGCTCCACTGGACCCGCCACCGGTCTACCTGCGCTGCCCGTGGTGCTTGCGGCGTCCAGGCGAAGCGGCCCCGAGGAGGAGCAGAATGCGGGCACGAGTGCTGCGGGGCTCACTTGGGCGGACCGCCGCACGGCACAGAGTGGCGCAACAGGGAGAGCAAGGGGTAGGAGGAGGGACACGGGGAAACAAGAAGGAAAGGGAGTAACGCGGTTGGTGAGACGGAATGGTTTAAGAGCAACGGAGAGCACGGATCTAGGGTAACGTCTCTATGCACAGCGATTGGAATGGGGAGCAGAATGCGGGACGCGGGGAGGCAAAGGGCTTTCGAGGCGCCAAAAGAAGCGCGAAGAGAGCGGGATGGGGAACGGAGTGAGTGGTGTGGGCAGGAATCTTGTCGGATCAGCCTACGTGCACACTGGGGTGAGTGAACTCAGTGCGACAGACCCCAGTGAGTCAGACCTCAGTGCGACATACTTTAGTGCGACAAACGTCACAGATCCAGCGCGCTGCCTTGTGTGGAGCGATAGTCGCATCGCCATGCCGAAATTCTTCCAATAGGGTGACCACTAGGCAATTGATATGTTATCTGAATAATCACTGCACTTCAATGTGATGTCGCACTGTGAAGTGCAAAACAATATTGATACAAAAATCATAGCGAACCGACCACAAACTGACTCGTGCTCAGCAAAATTCGAACCTGCGCGGGCAGAGCCCAACAGGTTTCTAGTCTGTCCCGATAACCACTCCGGCATGAGCACATATGTCTATGAGAGCAGTAGCCACATTACTACTCTTACCAGCACATCTGCTTCTCCTTTTGCTCTACCCTGGGAACCCAGTAGCCCTGCCTAACCTCACCTCATCTTCTCGTCCATCAAGACGAAAACCGACGGCATGCAACAGGCTCACTAGTAGTGATGGAGAAGAACATAGGCCCACTACTAGTAGTAGCAGACATTGATGTGGGAGAGGAAGGTGCGGAGCTGGGAGGGGTGGGGAAGGAGGGTTGGGTGGGAGGGGGTATGGAGTGGAGAGGGGAGGGGATAGTACCTTGGGCCTGGATGAACAGTGTGCCCGCGTTGTGGGGTCCCAACTCCATGCAGTGGGGCAGACGTGGGTCTAGGAGAAGCAGGTGCGGTGCAGATCTGGGAGGGAATGAGGCGGAGGGAAAGGAGGAAAAATGGCAGTGGCTTGTGAGAATGATGTGGGAGACAGTGCCATAAGGGTGCGAACGTGTGGTCCAGGAGTCCGTATAAAGGAAGCCGATGCAGAGCTAGGGTGGAGATGTGGGAGAAAGTGCTGTAGGGGCTTTTTTTCTCGGTGTATGGGACGCAGGTGTAGAACTGGAACTGGTCGGGGAGGGGGGAGAGGGGGGAGGGAGGGGGGGGGGGAGGTTGGGGGAGGGGAGAGCGGGAAAGAAGGGTGGAAAAGCGGGGAAAGCGGAGGAGCGGGTAGAGGCAGATATGAAGGAGTCACAAGGCGTTGGTGTAGGACAGGAATCACACATGCGATTCTGGATGGATGGGGAAAGGGGGGTTGCGAATGGGAGTTGGATGGAAAGAGGAAATCAGAGTTTGGGAGGGAGGGGAAGGTAGTTGAGGGAAGATGGCGGAACGGGTCCCACCTTGGCTGCAACCAGCTTCTTAACTCACCTGTCCTGCTGTGACCTCCCTCCAGCCATCTCATCCCCCAGCCCAGCCACTTTCACCCACTCCTCACCGAATCTCAGCAACTCCCACCTTGGTGGCGCCCAGCTGCTCAATGCCACCATTCACTTCACTTATCGCCTGCGCATGACTCAAGAGATTCCTACACGCGACTCCTCGTCCCGAACCGACTCTCGCCTTGGCGAGATCCAGCTTGTCAACCGCCCCCGGGCCCCGTCCACCCATCGTTAACACTCCAGGCATCCCCTATGGCCTCCGCCCGCCCCAGCAGCACTCCCCATCCTCCTCCCCTTCACCCCGCCTTCACTCCCCTTCCACCTCCCTTCACTGATCTCTCGAGTGAACCTCCCACACGCCCCTAACCCACAGATTCCGCTCACCGACTCTCACATACATACCCACCCATGACCAACTCTCACCTTCGTCATCCATCCGAAGCCACAAGAGCAGTAGATATGCCGAAGTGGCACGTGTGAGCAACCATGCGAAGCTCGGGACCTGGATCTTACTTCACTTCTCATTGTGTGCTTTCGACCTCAACTATATAGACCTGTGGGGAGGTGGGAGCAGAGGCGCGGGGATTGAGGACAACATGAGCGGAAAAAGGGGGGGGGGGGGGGGTTGGAGGGTGACGTGGGGGAAGGGGGAAGAGGCAGAATGGGAGAGAGAAGATGGAGCAGTAAATAGGGACAGGGGGAGGTCAGGAAACCAATAGCAGCGGCAGTAACTGTTGCAAAAGGTGGATGGCACAATGACGCCTCAACAAGCTGTGCCACGTGGCATGCGACAACTGAATCTCCTTTATCCGTCCAATCTTCCCCGCACCATCATCCCTTCGCCTTTTACTTTATGCATCATAAAATGTCCCATTAACCATATCTGTCACGTCAGTAGTAAATAGCTCTAATGTAAGCACCGGACTAAGCGTCTTGCTGCTGTGACGCCATGCGTTGAATGCTCAGTGAAACACAGAAAGCGCAGCTTACCATCAGCATTACTCCGTCCTTCCAACCCCTCCAACGAAATCCACCGCATCTTCGACGCCCCAACAAAAAAGCTTGAACAGGCCGAGGCGGCCTCGGTGCATACCGCCTGTGCATGCGGCCAAGTCGCCATCCTATCTCAGAAATCCCGCGAATGGGTGTCGCGATTTGCCTGAGCAGGCAACAGGGACCGCCGAAGGAAGGCTGCATCACTTGTGCGGCGTCGCACTAGCATCACCAGCTGCAGCAACAGCAGCAGCTGCGCGCCGTCGCGGCGCGAGGCGAGAGCGAGCAGCAGCATTCGCAGCAGCAGCGGCGGAAGCTGCGCGCCGAGCAAGGCGGGAGTGCGCGATGTGGGGAGAGTGATAGTTGTCTCGAATGGACTCGAGTCTGATAATGCCGCAACCTAGCAGCGGCTGGCGACACGGGCAGGAGGACGAGTCGTTGCTGTAGCTGCTACTTGAAAATAATGTCTGTTTGTGGCTGCAGGGGCTATTGATGGGACTAATAGTGGATTGAGTTGACGTCGACGAAGACGCTGGCGACGATTCCGCCAACGCGACGATGGAGCGGACGGAAAAGCGGGTACGGTTCCATAGACAGCTCGTAGAAACCGCCATGGATTTTTCATGCTTGAGGGCGTGGACTCGTGAACTGAGAAGAAGCTATGCACGGAAGGTTCAAAAATAGGGTTGGAGTGCTGTGATGATTATAGAACAGAGATTGATATGACAAAATGTGTGATTCAAAAGCCCCTTTTACAGTACACGTTCACAACCTAGCTTAGCGAGATTCGTGGTGGCGAGGTTTGGGCAACGGCGAAATCGAAAGGTTCGGAATCGACTCGACTCAGCTTCGGTTTCGTCAACTCGGCCGAGCCTGATCCCCGTCATGTTCGGGGCTTCGTCCGATACCTAAAATGACGCCACCAAACCAAAATCAAACCGAACGCACAGACCGAAGTTTACGCATACCAAACCAAAGGCCTTCCCAGGAACCAAAATGCCAGCCAAGCTTGGCGTGACAGACGTACACATTTTGCTTCGGCACGGCAAAGCCGGAGTAGGTGCTAGTTTTTCACGAATCGGAACCTCGTACTCTTCGGTAAGTCGCACAATGCGGCAGCGACATGAACATACTCAGTAACCCTATAATGTTTGCTTCCACGAGGCAGAACGACGCTCAATCAGAAAGCTTACTAGAATCCATTCGCTGACATCCGATCTTTTCGCGTTCGAGGCTCTAGGCTCTGCTGTGCATTGTCAGTCCATTTTTTTGGCGCCTACGAATTGGTCGCTGTGCTTCGCTGTCGGTTCTGCCAGGTTCGGTCGTCGTGATGGGTGCTTTGAGCTGTAGGCTCGGCGCGCTTATGCTCTCCATGCAATCCGCAGTGTGACTATTGACCCCTCCCAAGGTCCGTTATTGCTTTCATGTCGCCTGGCTGAATGTGGTGATGTGTCGCCATCATCTTGCTGTCGTTCGCCTTGTCTCGCCACCATTTTCGAGTTGTCACGGCCATTTCGATATGTCACACTCATTCCGAAAGCCACGCCCCCGTTTCACCATGTCGCGCCGCCATCCGCTCAGGCGACGGTGAGTCGCACTTGCACCGCTTGCATTTTCTTGAGAATGCGCTCCCTGCATGCTCTCCGCGCTTTCGCCTAGAAGTACGAGCGGTGTTACTAGCATTACAGGCCGCGCGCGCGTCTAGTGCTAAGGCGCGACTGGGGGCCGTGGCTTCACGCGGTCAGGTGGCTGTAGGCTCCTTGAGTCCTCTACAAAATTCGGAACGGAAAAAGAATGCAAAAAGATTGCTGGAGGAGTGTTTAATGTTTTCCCCTGCCATCAATGCTTGTGGTTTATCATGTGGAATGCTCAAAAGTGCAGGTTTGTTAGAGGAGTGCTTGAAAGGTTTGCCTGACCAATCTTCATCAGGCTCGGCAAGGAGTGCACCAACATCCTCCAAACATTGCTCATCCTCGCTAAAGAAACTTGTCAGTTGTCGTATTAGAGTTTCTGTAACGAATAAATAGTTTCATATATTTCTGAGTATATAGAAACACCATAAAAATGCAACACATTTTACAGTCCAAGAAATTATGTTTACCGCAAACAGCAAAATCGTGAGTCATGGACCGAAACCAGCAATCCAAAGCTCTTACATTACAACTCATGCCATACATAAAGAAAAGTCAAAATCACACCACCTAGTGTGCCTTCCCATAGACAAAACAACAATCACCTAATATCCTATTTATATAGCTGCTTACATCACGCTCCACACAGCAGCTATGTAACATGCAGTAACTACCAGGTTTTTTTTGGCGGGACGAGGGTCCTGCAGAAAGCGCAGCAGAGTTAGGTCGACATAGAACCAGCACGCTATGTAACGGGCGACAAAAAAACCTCAGATGAACCTACCGATCATGGATGCCATTGACCACCTCGGAACTGTATCTTATGAAACGCCTCGAAGAACCGTGATTTGTTCGGCAATAAGATGGCAATAAGACTTAGGGAAAATATAAGCTTTGATTAAACTTTTTAGACGCGTGGCGATAGTCAGAGAAGTCGCTGGTATAGAGCGTTGTCACACGCGCTGGTATTCTGCAAAGAAACACGTACTCACACTGGCGTAGTAGACAATGCGTTTTTGGGTAAATCAAAAGCTCACCTAACCTGATCATGAATTTACCATCAGGAATAGGGCGTGACAAGGTAGCCTGATCGCGAGCTTCATGCGGCGAGTCAAACTTCAAAGCGTAAACCGTCCGCCCAGCAGTCTTTCACTAGCCTGTAAGAGGGAGGATGCAAAAACAGAAAGACACACGTATTAAGAACGCGCATATGGGGCAAAAACGGGTGGGTTGGAGCAACCGGAGGACGGAGGAAGCTGAGTGAACAAAACGGTGCACGAGATTGTAAGACGTGAAATGAGCAGGTTCGATCTGTGGACTGGGTTTGAAGGTTGAGGGGAGCATCTCACGCACTAGAAGGTGGCAGGGCAGTGTGGTGTTGTGTCGCACGTGCGGATCCCCAAAATCGAGAAAGGGTTGGCGAGATCATTCAACATTTGGGAAAGATTTCGCTGCGTTGTGTTCTGAGGGAACCTGACGAAATTGGCGAAATCGAAACCCTTGGCATTTTGGGTTTCTGTTCGCCTCACTAAACCACACCCGCTCTGTCACATCTGAATGTGACACCGCACCTTCAGACGCGACGCAGTTTTCTGACGCGTCAGCAAAACCTTATCTGATTCAAGTGTCGCTATAGTTTGTTCGGTTATAACACCACTAAACCTCCGTCGATGCAAGTTCAAATGCCAGATTCATGCAAGCTTGGCACCACTGTACACCCAACACAACCGAAGTATATTCGATGTACTAGCACAAGTTAGCACGTGTGGGACGGTTTGGAAGCGAACTACTAGCGGCTGTAGAGACAATGGGGAAGGGGAGACATTGTTCACCTATCCTACAGCAAAGGTTCAGCACTGCTTACCCTCCTAAACACTGTTTCACGTAACCCTAGTCATTGCTCGTGCAAAGGTTAGTGTGCAAAGATGGGGAAAACCGAGATTTGGGCATGGTATGTGGCGTTGTGAATTTTGTAGAGTCACCGAGACCTGATGGCGTGGCATATGGCGGGGCCAAACCCGTGGTTTAGTTTGGCTCCTGGACGCAAAAGCAGATGATCGTAGTAGCGCGGCTCGGCTGCGTGCTTGCCATGTCCTGCTGTGGTGGCAGTTGGTACGGCGAGCACGCAGCGGCGTTTCACGCGTAGCGGCGTAGCTGAAGCTGAGGTGGGCGGGCGTTCCCAGTGGCATGACAGCGAGCGCGAGAGAGCTCATTCCCCCACGCAAGGCGCACTGCGGACCTGACAGCACGCGATGCCTAGGGGGGCTGCGTCGGTGGGAGAGCTAAGGGCCGTGAGGCTGCCTTTACGGACGTGCCGCGTATGTGCTTGTACCTTGTCGCTTGGGGAGCGCATCGTTGCTTTGTGCATCTTCGCGCTGTGTATCGTTGCGCTGTGTATCGTTGCGCTGTGTATCGTTGCGCTGTGTATCGTTGCGCAGTGTATCGTTGCGCAGTGTATCGTTGCGCAGTGTATCGTTGCGCAGTGTATCGTTGCACAGTGTATCGTTGCGCAGCGTATCATTGCGCAGTGTATTGTTGCGCAGTGTATCGTCGCTCAGTGCGACTGAGTCAACCCCCCTATGGACACCCCCCTGACTGTCGAACTGTGCTTGTCATTGAATACAAGTGGTACAGCAAAGTCAATGGTAAAGAACCAAGGTAAGAACGCATAAGCCAACCTAAGCAAAGAATAAAGCCCTGACAGGTATGTGCTACGAGGGGGGAAGGAAATGAAAAAGAGGTGGGGGGAATGGGGGTGGTGTCATGGGGAGTGGAGGTGCTCGCTCTCTCCTGCATCCTAGAGCTCTCCCTCTGCCTCGCTTCTGCCTTCCCCTCCCCTCTCCCGGTTTCATTAACTCCCCTCCCCCTTCCCTATCGTTCCCCCCTGCCGCTCTTACTAAGCGCAGACCCATCTCCTGCCCCGCCATGCTCCCACTGCTGCTGCTCACCTGATTCTGCTCGCTCTGGATGCTGGCGGCGGTGTGGCAAATACAGACGGCAGGCTGTGAGTGCGCCCGAGCGGGTGGTGAGGCAGCATGGAGTGGTATGGGAATGGGGTGGTATGGGGTGATGCAACGGAATGGGAAGGTATGGGGCGGTGGGGCGGCGGCATGCCCGGGTGGTGTGAGATTTTCCATGCAAAGATTCTCAATGCCACTGTGACTCTCTTTCACCGCGTTCTTCAGAAGCGCTCTAGCCGTTGCGCATGTCCTGCAACGGTCAATCGCTCTCCTGAACGCACAACTCACCCTTAACATCCTTGTTCCACCTCTCCCTGCCCCCTCTTTGCCTCTCCCTGCCCCCTCTTTGCCTCTCCCTGCCCCCTCTTTGCCTCTCCATGCCCCCTCTTTGCCTCTCCCTGCCCCCTCTTTGCCTCTCCATGCCCCCTCTTTGCCTCTCCATGCCCCCTCTTTGCCTCTCCATGCCCCCTCTTTGCCTCTCCATGCCCCCCTTCCTATGCTACTACCCTGTTATCACCCTGCCTTCCCTCCTTTCCCTCCCTTTCCTCCCTCCACTCCCTCTTCTCATCCCCTCTCCCAACAACCCTCACTCATCTGTCGCACAACCCTCTTCCGGTCCCTGCGTGCCCCCATGCCCCTCCCCATGTGGATTCCCTCCCCCCACACTCCACCGTGCCCGCTGACCTCCGTGAGCCCGCGGCTGCACCCCCTGCGTCCAACCCTCTCCGGCCTTCGCTGGCAGTCAAGCTGTTCCGCAGGCGCTGGCGGCATGGGGGCAGCTTGGGGGCGGCTGGCAGGCGTGGTCGGGCAGCAGTGACTGCTCAACCGTGCAGGGCGTCACATGCGATGCTCATGGCAAGGCAACGCAACGTTGTCTCCCTGGTACGTGAGGCATGTGAGTGCTGCTCCAGCGCATGTGAGTGCTGCTCCAGCGCATGTGAGTGCTGCTCCAGCGCATGTGAGTGCTGCTCCAGCGCATGTGAGTGCTACTCCAGCGCATGTGAATGCTGCTCCAGTGCATGTGAGTGCTGCTCCAGCGCATGTGAGTGCTGCTCCAGCGCATGTGAGTGCTGCTCCAGCGCATGTGAGTGCTGCTCCAGCGCATGTGAGTGCTGCTCCAGCGCATGTGAGTGCTGCTCCAGCGCATGTGAGTGCTGCTCCAGCGCATGTGAGTGCTGCTCCAGCGCATGTGAGTGCTGCTCCAGCGCATGTGAGTGCTGCTCCAGCGCATGTGAGTGCTGCTCCAGGGCATGTGAGTGCTACTCCAGCGCATGTGAATGCTGCTCCAGCGCATGTGAATGCTGCTCCAGCGCATGTGAGTGCTGCTCCAGCGCATGTGAGTGCTGCTCCAGCGCATGTGAGTGCTGCTCCAGCGCATGTGAGTGCTGCTCCAGCGCATGTGAGTGCTGCTCCAGCGCATGTGAGTGCTGCTCCAGCGCATGTGAGTGCTGCTCCAGCGCATGTGAGTGCTGCTCCAGCGCATGTGAGTGCTGCTCCAGCGCATGTGAGTGCTGCTCCAGCGCATGTGAGTGCTACTCCAGCGCATGTGAATGCTGCTCCAGCGCATGTGAGTGCTGCTCCAGCGCATGTGAGTGCTGCTCCAGCGCATGTGAGTGCTGCTCCAGCGCATGTGAGTGCTGCTCCAGCGCATGTGAGTGCTGCTCCAGCGCATGTGAGTGCTGCTCCAGCGCATGTGAGTGCTGCTCCAGCGCATGTGAGTGCTGCTCCAGCGCATGTGAGTGCTGCTCCAGCGCATGTGAGTGCTACTCCAGCGCATGTGAATGCTGCTCCAGCGCATGTGAATGCTGCTCCAACGCATGTGAGTGCTGCTCCAGCGCATGTGAGTGCTGCTCCAGCGCATGTGAGTGCTGCTCCAGCGCATGTGAGTGCTGCTCCAGCGCATGTGAGTGCTGCTCCAGCGCATGTGAGTGCTGCTCCAGCGCATGTGAGTGCTACTCCAGCGCATGTGAATGCTGCTCCAGCGCATGTGAATGCTGCTCCAACGCATGTGAGTGCTGCTCCAGCGCATGTGAGTGCTGCTCCAGCGCATGTGAGTGCTGCTCCAGCGCATGTGAGTGCTGCTCCAGCGCATGTGAGTGCTGCTCCAGCGCATGTGAGTGCTGCTCCGGCGCATGCGAGTGCTGCTCCAGTGCATGTGAGTGCTGCTCCAGCGCATGTGAGTGCTGCTCCAGCGCATGTGAGTGCTGCTCCAGCGCATGTGAGTGCTGCTCCAACGCATGTGAATGCTGCTCCAGCGCATGTGAGTGCTGCTCCAGCGCATGTGAGTGCTACTCCAGCGCATGTGAATGCTGCTCCAGCGCATGTGAGTGCTGCTCCAGCACATGTGAGTGCTGCTCCAACGCATGTGAATGCTGCTCCAGCGCATGTGAGTGCTGCTCCAGCGCATGTGCGTGCGTGCAGTGCGGCAGATGGGACGCACCATCAACGTCCCAGCCATCCCTCTCCTCACCTCAGTACATTGCCCCATCTGTAGTCCTTCCACGTCTCCCCTCCCTCTCCCTCTCCTAATCGTTCATTTTCCTTGCCCCAACCTTATACGTCCAACCCCATCCAACCCCATTTCGTGTATCCCATCGATCCCCATGTTTCTACATGTGTGCGCCACACATGCAGCAAGCCGAGAGTGAATCATCTGAACATCTCCAAATGACATGAGCAACCTCCTTCAGTGTCACCTACCTGTCAGTACCACCCTTACCCCTCCTACCTAGTCCATCCCACAACTCCTTGGCTCTGTCCCTGTTTCATTGCATGAGTTTGCGTCACATGCCAGGTAGTCCCATGCTCTCTCCCTTTCTCGGATCCCTTCTTGACCATCTCTCCTCTGGAGGAACCGGCTGAGTTGATCAGCTTGTTGACCAACCTGATGTGAGTGATCTGCGCAGAACTGGCTGAGCTGATCCGTGCCTGAGTCCCTTATCTGTCGCACCTCAACCAACTCGCCACACTGTAATATATCCACTGCACTGAGAGATCTGGGCAGGCTCAATTGCTGAGGGGTGTCACTGGGTCGAAGAGGGTAGAGGGTTAGTGGTTGCGGGTGTACTGGCATGGGGCCACTGCGTGTGCAGAGTGAAAGAGTCTCAAGTTATGATTGTGATAAATGAGAGATAGGTTAACATAGGAAAGGAAACGGTGGGCAGATTGGATGAGTGCCCACACCATCATTGGTGGGTCAATTAGGTTGACCACGCAATGATTGGCCAACACTATTGGGGGATGGGGGGGGCAATAATTGATTGGATGGCCCAGTCATTATTTGGGATCCCCCCATCAAATACGGTCCAAAAATGTTGGGAAGCACTCAACCAAAATCGGTTGGGGCTACTTGAGCCAAAGTGTACCACATTGGGTGTATCACTTACAGTAGTATTAACTAGCATATACAACATTCTAACACATGAGTATTGAAAGACGAATGGGAGGGGGATTGCTGTGGTGCAGCGCGGACTATGTACAGGGCGTTGTGTGCATGCATGCATTCTTGTGCGTTAGCACTAAGCACTGCACCATGCAAGAATATTGGGTTCTGCTTTTACCAAGGCTATCCCATGCATGTGTATCTCGTTGTCCGTAGCACTCAGTGGGGCACATAACACATCGCCAGTGGTCCATTCCATTCCCTGTAACCATGTGCAGGAGCCTTTCGGTCAACGGGTTCACTGTGGACAGCAGTCTGCCCTCAGCACCATCTCCACCCTCGATATCCTGTCAGCCACCCCATTGCCTCGCCCACCCTGCTGTTGCATCTGCACGTGTTATTTGTTCACTCATAGCGCCATGCGGCTCTCCTTTTGCCATGCCATGCTCTGACTGTCCTCCTCGCCTTGCTGCATGCAAGGCAGTGAAGCTCCGCTCCTGTCAAGATAACGATGTTGCAATTCCCCCTTGAGTATGATAAAGTGACGCTGCAGCCCTCAACAATATTACTTACGCGCCTAGGCCGTGTGGATGTTTCTCGAGCTCTTGAAAGAAGTCAGATTGATTAAAATGGATCGATGCAACTGCCTCTGTTCCCCTGCTCTGCCTTAGAGTCGACTACAAGCTCTGTGCTTTTTTAGCCGACTGAAAAGAAAATGTCTCTATCCTGTGCTCTGCCGTGCAGCGACCTGCACAATAACAACTTCCCTGGCGCCATTCCTGATTAGGTCTCCACCCTACCCACACTGATGAGCATGTATGCAGACATCATGAGCATGCATGCAGTCATCATGAGCATGTACGCAGTCATCATGAGCATGTATGCAGTCATCATGAGCATGTATGCAGTCACCATGAGTACGGTATGTATGCCGTTCATTCTGTCACTGCATGGGGCCAAGAATCTGCTCGTGGAACTGTGACTCACAAGTTGTGAGAGCGCGTGCGGTGTTCTTTTCAATCTCTGGGCTAATCACCGCTCCACCGAAAATTCCTCTTTCCCTACCGTACTCCAGCCTTAGTAATGTCTTGAATAGACGCTTGACACCAATCATTATAGCTTTAGGGTTCAACATACAATCATAGACAATTTTTTATGCTTGCGAGCGATTCATTGTGTGCACAGGGTACAGCCGAAACATAGTGTATGGATCCAGAACGAGATTTTAGTCTACAGACCTCCACTCCCCCGTTTTGGCCCCTGCTTCATAAGGACACTGCCCTAAGGACAGAGGCAATGGTTTATGATAATGGATTTCGCGGAAACCCACGATCTGGTAGCTCTCTCATTTGTCCACTCTGATGTTTGTAGCGCTCGTGCTACTTGTCAGGCCTATCACATCACGATAGGAGACACGTGTAGCATGCTGAAATCATGCTCTCCTTTCTTATCCCCAACCTAGTGTTTAAACAAGCCATGTATTTACAGGGAGCTGGCACGGTCAAACATTGCTGGAACCTAGCCCCTCTATTGGAACCCTGAGTCACCTTGACATCTCGCCAACCATAACCCATCCCTGTAGCTTCTCTCTTGGTGTTTGCCTTGCTTGCCTGGTGTGTTGCTGGTGCAACCTCTTGTGCACGTATGATTCCGAGTCTCCTTGGCTTGGCATCAGTCTATGTCAGTAGCTTTGAGGACAAGAGTCATCAGAAAGGTACTGAGACATTGCGTGTTAAAGACATATATGCAGACTGCAATAGAATGCGCTCTCTCTCGTTCACTCAAGGACTCCCTTATCGTTCCATCATCATAGTATGTGATGTATCACGTGTGCACACGACGTCTTCCACGCTGTGGGTTGAGGTAGCTGGAGGGTGTGGGGCTCAGGGGCACGGTCCCCAGATCATTCTCCTTCAGAACTTGGGCTTTTTGTGTGTGCACCCTGGCTGCTTGCTGTTGTATCCAGTGTCCCTTGGCGTCTGGTCCAATCACACTTATCCAAGTTACCAACCTTGACATGTAGTTGAAATCATGCTTGTATGCAACGCAACTGCATGCAACAACAGCACTCCATGCTACCTCCGCTGAGGGCCTTAGGAAGCGCACTCAACCCTGCTAGATGGGAGTCCAAGTGCTGCCATGCCATGCACGCCGCGTTCACGAGTTGTCTTCGGATGTGCTTTCTTCCAGCTACCTGAACAGGAACGTCCTCTTTGGCGATGTGTACGGCATCACACGCAATATGACCAGCCTTGTCACGCTGCACGTGCATGGGGGGAATCGCATATGGCATGCACCATGTGCTATTTGCCATGTCCCAGGTCCCATGTGCCAATGGGCCATGTGTCATTTGTTACTTGCCTTGGTGTGTTGAGGGGGTCCTGAAAGAGCCCATTCTAAGAGAGCATTGGATTGGGAAGGAGGACTACAGATAGGACTGAAAATGCTTGTTACACCAAGCCCCTTCCTTTGGTCCGATGGCTTACACCAAGCCCCTTCCTTTGGTCCGATGGTTTACACCAAGCCCCTTCCTTTGGTCCGATGGTTTACACCAAGCCCCTTCCTTTGGTCCGATGGTTTATCTGTATGTTCAAGGCTCATCTGCTTGCGCGCTGGTAATTGCTGACCAGCATCAAACACATTCTTCCAACAGAACACTGCATCTTTCGTCTGCACCACCCTGTGCGTGCTCACTTCTCACCCACTCTTGTCACACCCCTGCTCATGCGCCATTTTCCCACCCACTCCTCGCCTTGGCTCTCCCTGCCCTCGCCCCCCCTTCTTTACAGTGACATGTCAGCCAACCAGTGACAGGGTGACTGCCATTGCCCCTGTCGCCCTACCTGCAGCCAACCCGTTCCCGCCCTACCTACCCTACACCCACCGCAACTTCTTCTTCCACGGGACCATCATCCCGCCCGAGGCCAACCACACCTACCTTGGCAACGCCTTTGAGCATTGTCTGCTCAACGCATCCCGAGCGCCTGGAGACTACTTGGAGCAGAGGAGTGCAGAGGAGTGTGGTGCGTTCTGTGGGGTTTCTGCTGGGGATTGCCAACCCCTGTGCAGCGGGCATGGCATGTGGTCCTTCAGTGAGTCTGTGCAGGAATCAGTATACACCTGCGATAGCAACTTCGACAACCAGGCCGGACTGCCCTTGTGCTCCTACAGTGGTGTGTATACACAAGTTTTGGGAGAGACTGAGTGATCTGGTGTAAGAAGCAGATGGCACTATCTTGTTGTACCCTTTGATTGCATTGCATACCCTGCTCATTCCTCGTAATTGTTACCATTACAGCTGCATCGCAGTTGAAACCTCTCGAACTCCTAGTGTTGATCTATTTACATCCAAGCATATTTCTTCAGTTCCGTTTGCACCCATCTGCCTTGCCTCGCTCTGGATAACCCTGCAATTCTCCCTTCAACCAAATCATCACAGACAACAGCAGTCTCCCTGGCAGGTGCAGCACCGCAACCATTCAATGGCACCATCATCCTCACGCCCCCCACCAGCAACACGTCAGGAGCAGCACAGTGCAGCGCCCATCTGCCTCTTCCTTTTCATCGACAACCCTGGCCCGTGTAGCACGCCCTTTGTGTTCAATGCCTTCTTTAGCTTCGCCAGTCAAGTACATGGGGGGAGAAGGTTTTGTGTCAGTCGTAGGTCACTTTCAGGTCACACTCAGATCGCTCTAGAAACTCTCATAACGAGAGTCTCATATCACTTTCAGGCCACTCTCAGGTCACTTTCAGGTCACTCTCAGGTCAAACTCAGGTCAATTTCAGGTCAATTTCAGGTCAGTCTCGTATCAGTTTCAGGTTGGTCTTAGGTCAAATAAGGTCAAATTCAGGTCAGTCTAAGGTCAAACACGGGTCAGTCTTTTGGTCAGTTTCTGGTCAGTCTCATGTCAGCCTCATGTCAGTCTGAGGCCAGTCGTGGGTGCAGGTATGATGCAGGGCCATGCCTTCCACAAACACGAGATACCCACAATCTCCCACACTACCCTTTGTCCTCCCCCACCCTACCGTTAGCAACCAACTGACCTACGTACTATTGGCGCTTTAGCCCCAACAAGCCATATTTAGCAGCCACAAGGCCAAGATTGGCACCCAGAACAATGAGCAGGGGACTCTCGATGCTGAACTG